GGTGTTGTAACAGGTGTGGTGGGTACAACTGTGCTGTTAGATTCTGGTTGACCTAAAAGAAGAGTCTCTATCAAGTCCTTACACAACTACAGTCTACATTGTTATCAATATTTATGAGCAAATGATCTCTTTCTTTATCACAAACATCAGTCAAGTTAGAGTTGGGCATAAATCTTGATCCATATATTTAAAATATTATACCTAGTACTGCACTTTGAATGTACAGTGCTACAAAACAACGTTTATTACATGTGGTCAGTGTTTGACTTCATTCACGAGAACACTTCAATAGACAAATAGGAGAACAAGAATGGGAGTTTTTAAAAAAAGTATAAACATTAACCTTCACAGATGACACTGGCATCTTCAACGTGATTACAGTTGTGGACCCCAAGCCCTGGATGTCTGCACTCTGTTATTGATATTTCGTTGCCAGAACAACCAACATCATCCAACCAGATGGGTCCACTGCCCTGTCCAAAAGTTGCATTTAGTAATGCTGAACGAGGAGGGCCACAGTCCAGCTGTCTACACACCACGTTAGCATCACTGAGGTCCCAGGCATCGTCACACACTGTCCCCCACCGACCATCATGGTAGACCTCCACTCTGCCAGAGCAGCGGTTATTAGAGTTGACCAGCCTGACTGGTGCAGCAGCTGACGGAAAACATGAGACATTATGTTGATGATGTGAGACACAAGAAAGAGTGACTTCTGTCATGATATGGTCTTGTTTAGTTGTGTATTTTCAGTGTTTAGTTTTCCTTGTTTTAATTTCTCATTCTTCCCTAGTGTTGCTCAGTTGTCACTTTCTGTCTTTCTTGATGATTGTCTATTCTAGTGTTGCTTGTTTCCCTTGTGTGTCAATGTTTCCTTGTTTGATCTTTAGAGTTTCCTGTTTTATTTTGTAATTACATATTCTTGTGCTTCTCTATGTTCTAGTGTGTTTTGTTATTGTTACATTCTTGAGTTCTCTTTGTGTCTTCAGTGTTTCCTGATTTATATTGTAGTTCTGGTCCTCAGGGTTTCTTGTCTTAATTCCTGTCTCTGTGTTTCCCTGTGTCATACGTCTCACCTGTGTCTGATTACCCTGTGTCTATTTAGTCTTTGTGTTCCTTCCCTCGTGTTTTCAGATCATTGTAAGTTGTTGTATGTTAGTTGTAGATGTCAGTGTTTCCTCGTGGTTTGTGTTCTTCTTTTGGACTTTTTGGATATTTCAGTTCGTAAATATTTACGTTAGTTTCTGCAATAGGGTCCACCTCCTTTGTTTTTTTTAACATTCATGACAACTTCAAAAGACAAGATGTTTAAAAAAGAAATTGTAACAGTCTCTAGCTTAAGAAGTGTAAAGATTATATTTCATGTAAATCAAATAGTTATCTGACAAGTAAAACCCTCTTCAACATCATAAAGACAATGATATATGTTAAAACTACATACTACCTATCTACTTCAACAGGACAAAGACTCCTAAAGGTTGAAAGGCATGACGATAATATTTGCATCAAACTCATATTTCTCCATCAGGTTCCTGATTACTTAACTCCTCTCTGCCGAATATAACACCATAACGAATTTCTGACAGATCGAAACAATTATATTTACCTTCACAGACGACACCAGCGTCTTCATTGTGTCCACAGTTGTGTGATCCAAACCCTCTGTGCCTGCACTCTCCAAGCTTTGATTCGCTGCCTGTGCAAGAGACATCATCCATCCAGATGGGTCCACTGCCCTGTCCAAAATAGGCAACTGATGGTGCCCTGCCACAGCCCATCTGTCTGCACACCACCTGAGCATCAGCCAGGCCCCATTGATCATCACACACCGTCCCCCACTGTCCACGGTGGAAGATCTCTACTCTGCCAGAGCAGGACTGGTTCCCTCTGTTAACCAGACGGACCTCACTCTCAACTCCTGAGCTGTTGTCGGGTGTTGTGGTGGAGAGGATGTCAGCTGTCACTTCAGCGATGGTGATGATCCCAGGTGTTGTAACAGGTGTGGTGGGTACAACTGTGCTGTTAGATTCTGGTTGACCTAAAAGAAGAGTCTCTATCAAGTCCTTACACAACTACAGTCTACATTGTTATCAATATTTATGAGCAAATGATCTCTTTCTTTATCACAAACATCAGTCAAGTTAGAGTTGGGCATAAATCTTGATCCATATATTTAAAATATTATACCTAGTACTGCACTTTGAATGTACAGTGCTACAAAACAACGTTTATTACATGTGGTCAGTGTTTGACTTCATTCACGAGAACACTTCAATAGACAAATAGGAGAACAAGAATGGGAGTTTTTAAAAAAAGTATAAACATTAACCTTCACAGATGACACTGGCATCTTCAACGTGATTACAGTTGTGGACCCCAAGCCCTGGATGTCTGCACTCTGTTATTGATATTTCGTTGCCAGAACAACCAACATCATCCAACCAGATGGGTCCACTGCACTGTCCAAAAGCTGCATTTAGTAATGCTGAACGAGGAGGGCCACAGTCCAGCTGTCTACACACCACGTTAGCATCACTGAGGTCCCAGGCATCGTCACACACTGTCCCCACCGACCATCATGGTAGACCTCCACTCTGCCAGAGCAGCGGTTATTAGAGTTGACCAGCCTGACTGGTGCAGCAGCTGACGGAAAACATGAGACATTATGTTGATGATGTGAGACACAAGAAAGAGTGACTTCTGTCATGATATGGTCTTGTTTAGTTGTGTATTTTCAGTGTTTAGTTTTCCTTGTTTTAATTTCTCATTCTTCCCTAGTGTTGCTCAGTTGTCACTTTCTGTCTTTCTTGATGATTGTCTATTCTAGTGTTGCTTGTTTCCCTTGTGTGTCAATGTTTCCTTGTTTGATCTTTAGAGTTTCCTGTTTTATTTTGTAATTACATATTCTTGTGCTTCTCTATGTTCTAGTGTGTTTTGTTATTGTTACATTCTTGAGTTCTCTTTGTGTCTTCAGTGTTTCCTGATTTATATTGTAGTTCTGGTCCTCAGGGTTTCTTGTCTTAATTCCTGTCTCTGTGTTTCCCTGTGTCATACGTCTCACCTGTGTCTGATTACCCTGTGTCTATTTAGTCTTTGTGTTCCTTCCCTCGTGTTTTCAGATCATTGTAAGTTGTTGTATGTTAGTTGTAGATGTCAATGTTTCCTCGTGGTTTGTGTTCTTCTTTTGGACTTTTTGGATATTTCAGTTCGTAAATATTTACGTTAGTTTCTGCAATAGGGTCCACCTCCTTTGTTTTTTTTAACATTCATGACAACTTCAAAAGACAAGATGTTTACAAAAAATTGTAACAGTCTCTAGCTGAAGAAGTGTAAAGATTATATTTTATATTAATCAAATAGTTATCTGACAAGTAAAACCCTCTTCAACATCATAAAGACAATGATATATGTTAAAACTACATACTACCTATCTACTTCAACAGGACAAAGACTCCTAAAGGTTGAAAGGCATGACGATAATATTTGCATCAAACTCATATTTCTCTATCAGGTTCCTGATTACTTAACTCCTCTCTGCCGAATATAATACCATAACGAATTTCTGACAGATCGAAACAATTATATTTACCTTCACAGACGACACCCGCGTCTTCATTGTGTCCACAGTCGTGTGATCCAAACCCTCTGTGCCTGCACTCTCCAAGCTTTGATTCGCTGCCTGTGCAAGAGACATCATCCATCCAGATGGGTCCACTGCCCTGTCCAAAATAGGCAACTGATGGTGCTGACAGAGCCCTGCCACAGCCCATCTGTCTGCACACCACCTGAGCATCAGCCAGGCCCCATTGATCATCACACACCGTCCCCCACTGTCCACGGTGGAAGATCTCTACTCTGCCAGAGCAGGACTGGTTCCCTCTGTTAACCAGACGGACCTCACCCTCAACTGCTGAGCTGTTGTCGTGTGCTGTGGTGGAGAGGATGTCAGCTGTCACTTGAGCGGTGGTGATGGTCCCAGGTGTTGTAACAGGTGTGGTGGGTACAACTGTGCTGATAGATCCTGGATGACCGAAAAGAAGAGTCTCTCTCAAGTCCTTAAACATCTACAGTCTAAATTGTTATCAATATTTATGTGCAAATGATCTCTTTATTTGATGATGAAAGACACAAGAAAGAGTGACTTCAAAAGACAAGATGTTTAATAAAAAACAGCAACAACTTGTGTTTTAGTACTGTAAAGATCATGTTTTATATTCATCCAACCCATTACTGACAACTAAAATCCTCCTTGACCCCTCAAAGACAAGCGATATATTTAAAAAAAAACATACTATAGATATACATTTTAAAACAAAAAATACTATTTAAGGATGAGTAGCTAGATCTCTGCTGAATATTATACCTTAGAAAGCTTTTGACTAGAACCTGACCGATTAATTGGCTAATATTAGCATATCCCGTGACTATCGGTAACGGCTATCCTTATCGCATATGTGCCGATATTACTAGATTTATTCACCAGTCAAAAAGCATTTCATTTGAGTTTCATTGTATTACACTAGAAGTTCTCTTTCACCAGCAGAGGGCGCTATATGGATTACAACAAGCATTATCACTCTCCAGATTGTCAAGCACTGATGCAAGTACATGCACAGTAACTTTCGAGTGGAGTGACCATCTTGTCCTCCTTATAATGTATATATTTTCAGTGTTTGATAACTTCATTTGAGGGATCAACAAAATAGATTTGTATTAGTTTTTATTTCTCTAAAGATCAAATATAAATCTAAGAAAGATATCAGCCGATATTCCTTTATCGGATTTTCTTTTCTCCTCAATATCGATTTCGGATCCAAAAATCCCATATCAGCCAGCCCTACTTTTGACAGATCATAAGAATTATATTTACCTTCACAGACGACACCAGCATCTTGATTGCGTCCACAGTTGTGTGATCCAAACCCTCTGTGCCTGCACTCTCCAAGCTTTGATTCGCTGCCTGTGCAAGAGACATCATCCATCCAGATGGGTCCACTGCCCTGTCCAAAATAGGCAGCTGATGGTGCTGACAGAGCCCTGCCACAGCCCATCTGTCTGCACACCACCTGAGCATCAGCCAGGCCCCATTGATCATCACACACCATCCCCCACTGTCCACGATGGAAGATCTCTACTCTGCCAGAGCAGGACTGGTTCCCTCTGTTAACCAGACGGACCTCACCCTCAACTGCTGAGCTGCTGTCGGGTGCTGTGGTGGAGGTGATATTGACCTGACTGGCAGAAGAGGTCGCTGTACTTGGATCAGGTGTGGTTGAAGGATTTTCAGGAGTTGCTTCGTTCACCTCTGGTTACAATGAAAACAAGGAGATACCATTGCTTAACTAAAGGAACATTTCTAATCAGAATTAAGAACAACAGGACAATTCTTTTAAAAACTGATTTAGATGAAAAATGTAAATATGTGGTTACAGAGTTAATGTTACAAATGGAACAATACCTGCACAGTATGCAAGCGAACATGTGCTTGGCTGCACAAGTTTGTAGACGAAGTAGTTTCCATAGCAGAGCTTGACATGGATAGTGTGTGAGGAGAAACGACAGCACCTTCCTGACCATGAGTTACACACATTGCGGCTCACAATCTGACCTGACTGTGTGGGATGAGGGGTTTTTATCCATAGAGGACCCTCGGTTCCACAACTGTTTTCAGCCACACACTTCTCTGGAATATGAGCACTGGTTTGGCCCAGAAACAGCCGATACCAGCCTTGCCAGTCAACATTTCGGTCACAGTGTAGGTTCTGGGTGGACGTGTTATTTGTTGATCGCCAGTCATCATTCAGCACAGTGTACTCCTGGCAGGGGTCAGCACACCGGAGAGTCCCATTCATTCTGACACAGTCTGTGCCTGAAGGACACACAGTGGAGCCACAGCTGAACTGGACAGACTGGGAGGAGGGACCTGATCTGGAGCTGGGGGAAGGCTCCAAGCATACGAAAGAGCCTGGAGTGTTTGTGCAAACCTGAGATGGTTTGCATGGGGAGTCTGTAAGAGAGCACTCGTCCGTGTCCACACAGCCCCTGTCTGGTGACCACTGATAACCTTCTTTACAGCAAGAAGAGTCACTACAGAGTTTTATATTGTAACACATGAGGCCATCACCTACAAAACCATCGTTACAGACACAAGAGAGTATCTGCCTTGACATGTCGCCTCTTCCTCTAGACTCGAGGCAGGCGGCTTCATCGTGACATGAATCACAGCTGGAGACACGTGTTCCTGTGCAGAGGACAAGAATAGTAAAATAAAAACTTTTCAATTTAAAAAGTAACTCTATTACATAAAAGTGATGTAAATTACATTCTTTTTTCCTTTAGAACAACTTGTTTTTTCTGCTCAAATCTCACCACAGAATAGTGCATATCTGGAAAACCTACAAATGTGATGATTTCTTACTTTCTTGGAAATACTTAAGTGGAAATTAAGTGCAAGACAAGACAAGAACTACTGGTGGTGCAGGAAATTGACATCTAAACTGTTAGTATTTAAATAATGTAAGAATAGCTGATATACATTATCACTGGTAAAATGCAACACTAACAGAATTAAATATCACAAGAATTTTTAGCGGGGTAGGCTTATACTGTGAAAAAGTTGAGTATCACATTCTTATCAATTGGTCTTCGAAACCCCCACATGTAGTGCCATCAGTTTGGTTTGTGTGTCGGGAAAGAAATGTACTTATTCATTTGATCAAATGCTTTTAATTGAAGCACATGATAACTCAAATAGGAGAAAAAGATACATGAGAAAATGAAGTCAGATGGTATACCTGATGTTCTTACGGTAAAACACTGTAAAAGCAGGAGTAAAAACACACCCCTAGGCACCGTCATTATTGCCCACATCCACGATATTAACTTTCTGAAAAAGAAAAAAAAGGCATGTCTGAAACCACATTTTCAATGAGATGCATAAAATTCAATACTCTACCCATTTTTGTGCTGAATTTGGAGCTAGGCCCCAGCAGCAGCTCAGCTACCACAGTTTAGGTAAACAAAGACTATTCAGATTTTTCCAGACTCTAAATCATGCTAAAGTTATCTGGGACTCAAAGACCAAATCAAGTGGAATTGTTGAAGGACACTCGAACATTTGACACATTATATCAAAAATAGATCAGGTTAAACATGTATTGATGGACTCTTATCTGGATAATCCTTGTCTCAGTTAATCCTGAATAAACAGTAATAATATCCCAGCACATGTACCTGGTTATGTTTGTTTTAGAAGAGACAGACAGTAAGGGGGGGGGGGGTATGTTAGAGCAGTAAGCAAAAAGTGAAAATGATTTGTTCAAAACATAGTTTTAAAGAAATAATCAAATAACCGACCAGACTTACTAAACTCAGTAAAACCCCAATTGACTTGATCTTCATGAATAGACTTGAGCACATTACCGATACATACAATTTCATTACAGGCCTGAGTGAGAAAATTATCCAAAAAACATTTACAAGCCTTCTACAATGATTCCCATAAACCAGAAACCACAGGCATTTCCAGGAACAAAAAAATTCAATTTGAAAATCCATTGCAGAATATTAATTGGGAAAATGTTACAGACATTCAAAATTTTGATTATTTTTGTTTTACAATGATGAAAATGCTTATGGATGTGATTCAGAAATAAACTCAGTCATTGAAGCATCCACAATGTAAAAGGGCCTTACCGTGGCTGATCAAGAGTATTAATCTGCTGATGAAAAAAAGAGACCTTGTGCTCAAACAATCTTCATGCACAACTCATGAACAACTCACGAACTCATGCAGACACACTTGTTTTTAAAGGGCTAAAAGATAGGGTAGTGAAAGAGCTGCATTGTGCAATAACCACTTACTTCATCAAATTGATTGCTGAATCGGAAGGGAAAAGCTCAGCACTTTGGAAACATCTCAATAATTTAACCAACCGAACAATTAACCCCAAAAAATCAGTAGTGGAATTGAAATAAGTGGAAGAGTTTGTAATCATATAATTGAAATTGCAAACAAATGTAATACATTTTTTATTAAATCAGCTTAGGAACTGGCAGCAAGTTTCCTTCTTACCCACACTCTTGAAAAAACTGTTGTCGACTACCTTGAAAGTAATAACCTTCTGCACCCCAAACAATTTGGTTTTAGACAACGGTACTCAACAGAGTGGGCACACTGTTACCTTACTGAAACAATAAAACAGTCATTGGTTGAAGGCAGTGTAGTAGGAGCAGTATTTTTGGACTTGAAAAAGCCTTTAATACTGTGAATCATGACATTCTCCTAAATAAACAGCAAAAAAATATGTTTTCTGATTTTGGTTTCAAATGTATCTTGAATGCAGAGAGCAGTGTGAAGGAATAAATTCCACTCAGTCATCTGTTCAAACTTGCAGAATGGGAATTCCACAATGTTCCATTTTAGGGCCCTTACTTTTTAGCTTAATGATTTACCAGACAGCTGCAAAAGAGTTAGCTGTCAAATGTATGCAGATGACACAGTTATATATGTGCATATGTACAATCCGATCTATCAACCGACTATGGACAGACCTCATTGGCTGCAAACTCCTGGTCAATAAGCTCAACTTCCCCAACCAATCCTTTCCATCCCTCGTCCACTCCCACCTCTACAACGGGTCCTCCAATACCTGACCTGATCGGACCTGTCCAAAGTCACCTCCTGCAAGCAGTAGAAAGAGGAAACAGTGCCAGTCTACTATCATTGCCTATATCTCATTACCAACGAACAACATGGGCCCCTGGGAAAACCATCTGAAACTTCCTCGAGGGACTGCTCCCCCATCTCCTCTCTCACTCATGCCTCTTGCATTGGCTATGAGGACGCTAGACTGGATGAGGTGGTGAGACATGCAAAGCATGCTGAAAAACAATTTCAAGCACAACAAACATGAAAAGCTAAATCAAAAGAAAAGGCCCTTCATCTGGTCCAAATATCAATGGTAACTGGATGGTTTACTGGACAGGCGCATGCAGGAGGGGATTTTCCAGCCATTGGTTTTGATTGGAAGGGACGCCATGAGGGAGACGCCAGGACGCAAGACACCTGAGAGACTGACTCTGAAATATATCTTATTTTTGGTGTCGACACTTCATGTTTCTTTTGCAAATAATTGAAACTGGTATGATTGGGCTGTGTTAGCTGTGTTGGCTGTGGCATGAACAAGGATCTTGGTGGTGAGTCACCTGCACCCACCCCTTAAACAGGACAGGACAGTTGCACACATTCAGGTAAGGCAGAATACACCTTTCATTTCATTTCATTTATTATATAGGAAAGTTTAAAAGTAACATTAAGTTACAGTTTAACGGGCCTGTCTCAGTTTAAAAAACTGGTTTCCAGCAGGTTTCTGTTCTGCAGAACATGAAACATAAACCACAGTCATGACACATCAAGACAAATACTTTTACAGGACATTAGCATGGGCTAGGCAGATACAGACAAATAGAAACAGATACTGTGAACAATACTTGAACAATATATGAACAATTAATGAGTGCAGGTGTAAGTGTGGAGAAGGTGTCGTTTGTATGTATTTTTGAAATATGAGGTAGATGGTAAAGTTCTAATGTGATGGGGAATGTCATTCCAAATTTTGGTGTATGTATAAAAGAAGGACATCCGACCATAGTTGTTTTTGTATGCAGGGACTGGGATGAGTGCCTGTGAGACTGACCTAGTGGTGCGCACTTGTCTCATATTATGTGTCGGTAGAATTGCAGCAAGTGTTGGTGAAGTGCTGTTTTTAATCTGAAAATAGTATGTAATGGCGTGGCTCTGTATGTAATTCTGGAAAGTCAAGGCGTTGGAGCGTGTGAGTGCAGAGCAGTGGTGTGACCACTTTGGGAGGTTACTGTGGATCTTAAGAGCTCGATAGTACAGTCGTGCTATTGGTTCAGTAATCTCCTTAGTGGTAAGTGACCAGATTGGAAGACAGTAGGAAATTGATGAAAACACAATTGCATGTAGGTGCATTTCAGAAACAGAGAAGGAAAGATATGATCTGATCTTATCACATACATAAAGTTTCTGACTCAACTTAGTAGTTAGTTTGGAGGTGTGTTACATTCATTCACTGATCTCATCACGTTTCATGTAGCATGTAAGGAGAGGCACTAAGTTACAAGCTCACTGGCCTTAGAGGCTCAAGGAAAGCTTTTAGCTGTGGATTTGTGTAGCGGCGTAACAAATCCGTTATTATTTACACAGACTCCAGCTATGAGTTTGGTGTCGTTTACTTATGTGAAACATCACAAATTTCTAAAATCTGATGGTAAACCTATGAAGAAACCATCCTGCCATGGACTAAAGCACTGGTGTTGATGTACATGAGGATGAGGAGAAGAGCGCGCTATAACCTAAGCCCATTTGAAATCCTCCTTCCAGCACCACCACATGTCGGCGTCGAGCAGCCTACACATGCATTACCTTCTTCCTTTCTCTGTGAAAATGACATGCTGAAATACTGTCTTAACCTGTCCTCCACCCTCTCCAATGTCAGAAAGCAGGTTGCATCAGCAATCCCACACCCAGCCACGGGTCCCCTCCACTCGCCGCAGCCAAGTCCTACGATGTGGCCAAGGACTTCCGGAGGAAGAACTGACGAGCTAAACGGTGTCCTGACAACCCACCCTCAAGATAGCTGAGAGAGCCACGTGGATCCACGCCAGCCACTGTAAAAAGGTCCCTGATCCCACTGACCCGCCCGACACCACTCCACCACAGGCCCAGCCTTCTGCTGGGTGAAGTGCTAGCAACCTCTCCCCTAATTGGTCATAGACAAACCAGCTGGACGAACACAATACCCAGCCAGAAGAAGCAGCCATCATTGAACGACCACGCCCCTGGCATCCAGGTGCGTGTGGCCTCCGCGGCACCACACTCGCCCTCTTCCTCATCACTGGAGTAGTCACCTCCTCTATTCTGTTGCTCGAAGTCCAATCCAAGAAACTAAAGCCCCCTCCAATCACCACCAACCAAAGTCTGGCCATGTCTGCAGAAACAGCATTGCTCATTTCTCACATGCCATTGTTATGACGATGTATTTTAAACTGCTTGTCCCAGGGTAATATTATCTGATGTAGAATAATGGTCATGTACGTTTCCATTGTTTTGTTGTGATTATTTTGATGTGTATTTTCAAATGTAGTAATTTTGTACTTGCGATTAACATAATCAAAATTAGGGAAAAGTAATGAAAAATACATTATGTGGATATGCTAAAATAACATTACTGTAAAACTGTCTGTTTGCTGTAGAACACTGTTCCAATCGCAACTAGCCTACACATATCCTGGTTTTACATGAAACATCTGGATGAATTTCTGCTTTTACATGAAACCCCTGCATGAACTTCTGCTTTTGTACAAAATCTGCGAACGCCCTGTCTTTTTTTTATAAGAATACAGTAACTGTATCAACTATGTTTAGCGCTAGTTTTTCTGTCTCCACCCTTCCCTTTTGACAAGTGTGCCTTTTGCCCCTTTGAGCTTCTGGCAGACTGTACCTTGTCACACTCTGTGTATTTGCTCCTTCTTGCAAGAATAAAAAAGCTCTCGAGGACAGTTCATTGCAATTCAGATCTTTATTCAACAACTCACAAATATTTCCACGTGTGTCAAAGTGGCTTCAAAATAATCATCTCACCTTAAACTATGATAAAACTTTCTCAATGTGTTTCTTCATAAAAAGAAAATTAATGATAATTTTAGAATAGAGATTGATAAACATATACCACTAAAAGCAGCACAGCAGTATATGCATGCCATGATTTTTTCCTCACTTATCATACTGTATAACTGTTTGGGGCCAGGCCAACCAAACAACAATTACGACAATCAGGTCATTATAT